AACGCCACCCAGCAGCCGGGGCGCCCAACTGGAGGGGGAGGGGGCGCGGCCGCACCCCGGGCATGGACGTCCCCCGGGGTCCCGCCCGCGCCCCCCTGGAGCCTGGGAAGCAGGATCACCAGGCAATGCCTCCGCAGCTCCGGAGTTTGGTGCGCGCCATGGTCCCTGGGCAGAGGGGTGCTGGTTGGGGCCCACAGATCCAAGGATCCTTAGAGGACTAGGGGTCGTCCAGACCAAGAGCCTGCAAGAGAAACAAGAGAACATCAGAGGAGCCTCCATGTGAGGGCGGGGCAGGTTGAGCCTATATTTTGACCTTAGTTACTAATTAAACACCTACTGTGTGCCTGGCACTGTGCAGGGTAGGCCAATAGGACAGTGACCCTTCTAGAAGGATCATCAGGAGCTCCCAGGACCTAGGCCTCCTGGGCACACAGAGGCCAGCACCCAGCCTGCCACCCACCACTCGTGCCCTCCCACAGCAGCACAGAGGTCATTCCTTCCATAACAGGAGCCCAGGGCAGGCCCTTCGATCTCATGCTAGTCCTTCTACATTCCCTTTCAGGAATGGGGCACCGGAGTCCCAGAGGGCCTTGCTTGGAGGTGCCCATGTGACTTTGGGCAGGGTTACAACCCCTCTGAACTTGCCTTTTGTGTCTCCACATTCCCCCAGAAAACCTTCCTTTCCCAGAGCCTCAGACACCCCTCCTCCCCACTCCTGGACCAGCACGCAGTCCCCAGATCAATCCATCTCTCTCCTTCCCTCCCTCCATCAGATCCTGCTTTCGGCAAGAAAGGATCTGAGGGACTAACTCCTACTCAAGCAATAATGATGAATAATGGCTTAATGTGGGTGTTTACAGGGGACAGCAATGCTGCTTTAACGGAGGAATTTCAGGCACTGAGAAGAGTGGGTGGTGGTGAGGGGCTCAATCCCCACTCCTCTCCCCAAGCCAGTTCAGCTCAGTTCGGCAACTCGTTTCCTTTGAGTTTATACTTTGCCCGGTTTGGGCAGGATGCTAGGACACAGACACAGATGCTCAGTTTAGTGGGATGGGTGACGAGACCCCCAATAACAACCTAAATGCAGGTGGCAAGTGATCAGGGCTATCAAAGGGGTACAACTTGAGACCTACAGGGCTCAGGGAAGGGAGAGGGCACAGGTGTCTAGAAGGGGCAGGTGGGTGGGAGGGAATCGGGGCTGCTTCTTGGAGGAGGGGGTGCCTAAGCAGGTAGGAAGAAAGAGATGTGGCATTCCAGCACAGGAGTGTGCAGGCAGGCTGGGTGGTCTGGCTAGTGTGAGGAGTTAAGTTGGGAACGATGTGTGTGGCTGGGCAGAGGGTGTGGGAGGGACTGACCTGGCCCCAGCCAGGTCCTGCTGTGGACAAAGAAGTGGCTAGAATTTGGGGGGGCAGGAGAAATGCAGACCAGCTCCTTTAACCAGATGCCACAGTGGGCAATTCTCTTGCCTTTGTTTTAACTCACTAACTCATGTGAGTCATAACTGAAAGTTGGTATCTTATACCCATTTTGCGGATGCTTGACTACTCAGTGCTCTTTCCCAATAGTGGCTCGGGAATTTCTTTATGGAAGGGGTTTTGAGGTAGGGAGTGATCGGTTGGGAGGTGAGGGGTTAAACCTGCATTGCAGGGCAATGACAATGAGAAAACACCAACAGTCCACAGGGAAGAATGAGGGGAGGGGTCCTGAACATCCCGTTCCCTCCTTCCCTCCAGGCCCCTGAACTAATGGAGGTCAGCGCCGCCTGCGCCCCGCTGTGAGCAACCCCAGCACCCCTGCCCCTCCCCCCTTCGCCCACTCCGCGGGGCCTGGGTGTGATGGCACAACCGAGGGATGTTGGCAGCCCCCCCCCCCC